GGGGTGATTTCGGTCATCCGTCAAAATATCTGAAGATCTGACCGGGGGATTCTCCCCAAACCTTGCTCAGCTGATCCAGCCTGGGGGGAAGGCCAGCCCTGGGCAAAGAAACCAGTACCTCATCGGGCTTCCCTGAGCGTCACAGCTCGGTGATCGCGCCGGCCGGACACCACTGAGACGGCCGTTCCGGGCATTTGAACGCGACCTTCGGGGGCAAAGACATGGGCTCTATGGCTCAGACTGGACTCCTCTTGGTCCCTTCTCATGCCCTAGGCCACACCTGGGCCTTACCTGGAGCTCTAGGGGGCGGGCAGGGTTTGCCCCCCCCAACTGGCCCGAGGGACCTTAATGCCCGCAACCCACTGTAACCTGAAAAAGAAGAGCTCACACACCTCCGGTTGCGATGGCCGATGTTGCGATCGAGCTCGACGTGTGGACCGACGTTGCCTGACCCTGGTGCTGGCTGGCCAAGGTTCGGCTCGACAACGCGATTAAACACCTTGCGCGCACCTCGCCAGCGATTACCGTCAGGCTGCACTACCGCCCATTCATGATCGATCCTCACACAAAGCCGGACGGCGAGCTGTATGCAGACTACCACCGCCGGCGGTGGGGTGGAGACGGATGGACGGCGCCGATGAAGCGGATGGGGCGTGCCGAGGGCGCTCCCTACGCGAACTGGAAGATCTGGCCAAATACTCATCACGCGTCACGGCTGCTACTTGAGGCGATTGACGCTAGCTGTGCAAGGTGTGTGTAACAGGCACCTGCGTTCTCACGCCCACGCCCAACCCCCGCAGGCGGGCCGGCACGGCCTGGGCGACGCGGTGATCGGCAGGCTCTACCGCGCGTGCTACGAGGAGGGCGAGAACGTGTCTCGCAAAGAGGCGCGCCGCAGCAGCCCCGTCAGTCTGCACACGTCGCAGGGCGCGCCGCACGGCACACACGCGCGGGTGCTGTGCGGCGGGCAGCGCACGAGGCAGGGTAGGGGGGAGTGTGTGTCACATCGGCACATCTCGGCACATCTCGGCACATCTCGGCACATCTCGGCACATCTCGGCACATCTCGGGCAGGTGGTCGCCGCCGTGGCGCGGGAGGCGGGCGTGCCCAACGGAGACGAGTACGTCCTGTCGGGCAAGGGGACGGACGAGCTCGCCGCCGAGCTCGCCAATGTGAGATTCGCCGAGATGTAGCCGAGATTCTAGCCGGGATCTAGTGGGCACCCCCCCCACCCCCCCCACCCCGCACCCCCACGCACAGGCAGCCACCTCTGGCGGGCGGCGCGTGCGCGCGGCCCCCACCTTTGAGCTGCGGGCGGGTGCCTCCCCCGCACTCGCCTTCAGCGGCGCGCGCTAGAGAGAGAGAGAGAAGCGTGGCAGAGAGAGGCAGGCACAGGCAGACACGTACACACACACACACACACACACACACACACACACACACACACACACACACACACACACACACACACGCAGATAGAGAGAGAGAGAGAGAGAGAGAGAGAGAGAGAGAGAGAGAGAGAGAGAGAGAACAGAGAGAGAGACAGACGAGTGGCTCAGGTGCGCGCGAGACAGACGAGTGGCTCTCGCTGCTTCACGAGGCGGCCGAGGCGGCGAAGCCGTCTGCAGGCGCATGAGCAGGCGCCAGCGGCAGTGTGTGCGCCTCGTAGTTGTGGCAGTACCCGCCCCAAACTCCGCGGATGACGGCGGCGCTGGGAAGCCGGAACGGTCGCTGACCCCCGGCCCGCGCTCGCCCGACGCTGAAAGATAAAGGAGGAGTGGCGGGCAGTGCTGCCTCTCGGCAGGTCCAGTAGCCTAGAGCCGTAGGCGCGCGTTGGTACTAGGAAGATAGGAATGTAGAGGCTTTAGGCGGTCATATCGAAGCAGAGCCTCAGGTAGAGTACACGCATCCCACTCCGACGCTTGTTGTCGCTTCAAAAAGACGAGGGTGTGCCCCTTGTGCCTAGACCAGGGTGCAGGGACTCTCTCTCCAGACTGTCTGTGGCGGGCAGACTGAGCGGCCTTTCGGTATCGCCTATCGGTTTCGGCTTTCGCACACCATCGTGAATGACCTAAGCCTAAGGGGGGCACTCTTCCACTTTTGTGCGTTCTTGGTACTTGGATCTCGGCGGTTTTGTGGCTCTTTGTGTCCCGGCACCCGGGCCCCTCTCGCCTCTCCTCGCGCGACCTGCGAAAGCTCACCGCGCGAGGCTCCTCGCGCGTGCTAAAAAGCACACACCGGTGCGGGCAACGCCTTCCCGGTCGCGGGAGAGGGGCGAGCGCTGAGGGTGGAAGAGATGTGTACGAAGGCGGCGGGAGCCGTGAGCGTGTAGCGCAGCGTGGGGAAGGGTAGCACGCAAACGACCGCGCGCGCGCCAGCAGCAATGAGAGCGATACATAGAGTCGGCTGGGAGGCGACTCTGGCGACTGGCGCGAACGCTGGCGCAAGGGCTGGCGTCGAAGGGGTGTCGAAGCGAACAATTCTTGGGGGCGTTGTCCTTTATGCACACACGGCACTCAGCAAAAGACACAACCACAAAGACGAGTGCTCGAGTGGTCGCACGTGGGTTCGCGTTCTAGTACACGTGCACCGCACATCATGTTACGGTCGACAAAGGTACTCCGCTGGCCACAAGTCGTGTGGCGGGTGGCGCAGCGTACGGCATGCAGGCATGCACTAGCTAGTCAAGGCAGAGAGCACACGTGGCGCGAGTACCTCATTACTCAGCAAAAGACACAACCACAAAGACGAGTGCACGAGTGGTCGCACGTGGGTTCGCGTTCTAGTACACGTGCACCGCACATCATGTTACGGTCGACAAAGGTACTCCGCTGGCCACAAGTCGTGTGGCGGGCGGCGCAGCGTACGGCATGCAGGCATGCACTAGCTAGTCAAGGCAGAGAGCACACGTGGCGCGAGAAGTACGCGTGCCCACGGTCCGAAGCCGCCGTTGGAGCGGCCGCCCCCAGCACTCTTTGAACAACGGTACTCAACGGCGGCGTCAGGGCGCCTTGGGCTTCCCGTCGGCAGACACGCACCGCGCGTCGTAGAGAGCGGCGGGAGGCGCGGTGTAAGTGCCAAAGAGCTTGTCCCACACCACAGTGCGCTTGCCGTAGTTGGACAGGGGCTTGATGTGGTGCATGGTGTGGTCGGGAACCTGAAGCGGTGCGGGGGCGCGCGGGGTGGGGAGTGAGCACACGCGTAGACAGCCTTCTCGTGAGGGAGAGGAGGGGCAGTCGCCTTTAGCTCGATGCCTAGAGTCTCGTGCAGCAGCCGGAGGGGGTTGCCGTTGATCGTCCTATGAGCCACACAGTGGAGGGGCGTCACAGGCGGACGCGTGCTCTCTCTCTCTCTCTCTCTCTCTCTCTCTCTCTCTCTCTCTCTCTCTCCAGACCAGCTCATGGTCGAGTGGCCCAGCAGCTCGACCAAGTGGCCTGGGGGTGGGGGCGAGGGTGGGGGCGAGGCGACTGGGGTGAAGGCGGTAGTGAGGGTGCGAGGGCCAAGGGGGGGCAGAGGTGTCATGAGGGCGGCGGCGGAGAGGCAGCGAGGGCTGTTGCGAGGGGATGGGCGGCAACCCCATGACAAGAGCAGAGCGAGGTGAAAAAGTGTCACGTCGCTGCCAAAGACGGCGGCAACGATGCCCGCGAGCGCGAGCCCAAGCACGTACCCCACCATGATGAAGGACGCCTCGGACCAGGTGATTGTGTACCTGCCTCGCGCGTTGGGGATGTGCGTCAGCGGTTCTGCGGCGCATGAGCGGGGCAAACTTCAATCCGTGATCGATCTGCAGGCGCACGTCTCAAAGGCGACGAGCGGACCGAACGCCTTGCCCGTGTCGGTGTGGTGCTCCTTGTGGATCCAGCGGTACAGGAGCCTCGGGGGCAGGGTGCGGGCATACGGGAAGTGGTCAGGGACCTGGCTGGCGGCGGGGGTCGCTTCTCTCGGGAGGCGCCTGTTCTCGTGGCAGGCGCGGTGAAAGAGGTAGAAGGCAAAGTCCAGGCCGAGGTCGTAGGCGAGCGTCATGCCCGCGGCTCCGTGGAGCAGCATCGCCCCGGTCGGCGCGCCCGAGCTCATCTGGCGCCACCCGAGCAGCTTGACTACCAGCGGGAAGCCGGCGAAGACGCCGAACCCCTCCATCACGAGCACGACGAGGCACTGAGGCCGGGGGGGGGCGTGAGTGAGACGAGTACAGCGAGGCGCTGGTTGGGAGGTGCTAGAGAGCCCGCGGTGGCGGGTTGGCGCGGTGGCAGCGAGGCGCGAGCGGGGACACGAGCCTTGCTCGCGTGACGCCACGTTACTCCCTTCATGGCACGTCCTTCGTATACGTCGGCGTTGAACTGAACGGACCATGTCTCAAAGATTGCAAGCGGCCAGGCGGCGATCGCCGCCCAAGGGCTGTAGTAGACCGCGAGCGTCATCCAGCCCCAGCGAGCAAGGATGGTGAAGCAGAGCATCGAGAACTGTCGCATCGCGTAGTCTATGCGGCGCAAAACATCAGGTGCTGGAGCGGTGAAGCGGATGACGAGAAGGTTGAAGATGAGGAAGCACGCCGCGACGGCAACAAAGTCGGTGAAGTCTCTTGGTGTCGGCGTTTGCAGCAACCCGGCCGTCGGAAGCTTCGCCCGCAGGGCTAGGAGCCTCTCTGAGTTCTGGATCAGCGACGCGAGGCCGTCGGCAGGCGTCGCGTTCATCATCGAAGGTCGTGGGAAAGGACCTAGGGCCGTGTCGGATCCTCTCGTGCTTGCGAACGACCCGTCACACGCCCCGGGGGATACCCCCCCCCCCCACCCACCCACCTCGCGCTGCGAGCTGGAGGCCGTGCTCTCGCCGTACGTGTACATATTTCAACATGCGTATAAGCAGAAGTCTGAGCCCTGGTCTGACAGCCTGACAGCAAACCCCGCCCGGACAGCGCCTGACAGTGCCCGACAGCCTGACAGCGCTGACAGCACTTTCTCCGACAGCCTGACAGCACGTATCTGACAGCCTGAACAGCAGAGTCTGACAGGCGAGGTGCTCCGTCGCTGTCAGGCCCTAACGTGACAGCCTGACAGCTGCCCGACAGCCCGACAGCACACAGTGGCCTGACAGCAGCGCTGACAGCCCGACAGCCCGACCAGCCCGACAGCAGCACAGACCGTACACAGACCGTATACAGCCTCTTTCTTGTGCCCCATGAGAGTTTAACAAAACTACTGCATGTGCATGTGAGTGTGGTCCATGTGGTCATGGGATGGTCTCATGGGCGCTCTCTGACTCTTAACCCTCCCGCCTCACCTCTGCGGACCCCTAGCACCGGCGGCTGTGCTACTACAAATGAAGCTACCAGCTAGCCTTCTGGGGCCCTACAGTATGTGCCTACGGCGTCTGGGTGGGGGTGGCCGCCGCCGCTTGTGCCGCCGCCGCGGTCTGCGCCTGCGCCGCCATCTGCGCTCCCCGGGAGACCTATACTGTGTGGATCTACTCTCACTGGCTGCGGTCTCCTCTTGATAGTGTCATAAGTGTGGCTGGTGAGTGTCAGAGCCTGACAGCACCCCAACAGCACCACTTGACAGCACCTGACAGTACCGGCCCTACGTCTGACAGCAGCAGCAGCCTGACAGCTCTGACAGCTCCGACAGCGTCTGACAGCACCACCCGACAGCTCCGACAGCACCTGACAGCACCAGAGCACCTCGCCTGTCAGACAAGCACCGGACAGCACCCGACAGCACTGACAGCACCTGACAGCTGGTCTGACAGAGGCACCTGACAGTGCCTGACAGTGCCCGACAGCCCGACAGATCACCTGACAGCAATATCTGACAGCCTGACAGCTAGGGCTCAGGCAGAAGTGGCGAAAGCGCGTGGCGCGAAACCCGGTGTTAAGTTACGTCAGAAACTATGCAGACGCCTCACGCGGCGAACTCACGCGTGGCGACTGGCGTGACTCTCTTTCCAAAAGAATCTTAGGCACAAGACCCCCCCCCCGGGGGGGAACAGGCCGCCGTCGGCTGTGGGAGGCGAGCGCTGCCAGCCGGCCGACGCCTGCAACTGCAAGCTGCGTTGGGGAGGGCTGCTCCTCCTGCTCGTCAGATGCCGAGCGTGTTCTCCCACTCGTCATTCTGGCCAAACTCTGCTATCTTGGCGTGGCGGAGTCCCAGCTGCTTGCTCGAGCGCAGCAGCTTGACGCGCAGCGCTCGCAGCGCCTCCGCCTCCCCGCGCGCCGCAGCGATGCGCACGCGCTTCTGCCAGCCTGCCAGCGCGGCCGCCGCGCCCTCGTTGCGGTGCCGTAGCGAGTCCACCTTGGCCTGCTGCCTGCGCAGCTTGGCGGCCATGCCCAGCGCCGCCTCGGCCTCCTCCCGCGGGCTCGGGTACTTGCTCCTGTCAAACACGAGCTGAACCAGTCCAGAGCCGCTGTCGCTGATCGTCGCGCTCGCTGCGTCCTCCGCAATCGCGCCCACCTCTACATTGTCGAGCACGAGCCTCGCCCACCGCTCCAGCACCTCAGCCTTCTCCGCCAACGGCGCGTTGACGTAGACCGCCATGCAGTGCTCCGCCTGGCCGAGGCTCTTCTGCTTCCGCGCACGCGCCACGATCGCGTTGGTCAGCTCGACATCGAGGAGCACCGCGAGCGCCAGCTCGTGCGGCGCAAGCCGGCGCGGCCTGAAGACGATCCGTCTCGGGAGCCGAGTGGCCATGCGTCTCGGGAGCTTTGCAGCCATCTCCGGGAGCGTGCAGCGCAAGAGTGGTGGTGCTGCAGCGGCCAACGTCTGCAGCGGCACAGTCGTGGACGGCAGTGGCACCAGCGCGGCGGCCAGGGTCACTGCGAGCAGCATCTCGGGGACTGGTGGGGCGTCTCGCCGGCCTTCTCTTGGCGGCCGTCCAGGGGTGCAGCGGCCGTCCATGCGCGCGTTTTTCTTCTTTCCCGGCCCGTGACGGCCGACGAGCGCGCTCGCGCTGCTCGTCAAAAGGGCGGCGGTGGCGATCGCGGCGACGGTCGTTCGTTCAGTCGTTCAGCGCTCAGGCGTCTGTCGTCTGTCGTCTGTTGTCGCATTTCGCACACGCGCGCGCCGCGCGACCCGCGTCGCTCCGCGAGGGCATGAGCCTTCCGCGATTCGATCCCGCAGCCACATCGGGTCCTTCAGCCACCAAAGCGAGATCACCCGAGAGCAGCTGACTGAGTCTGCCTCTGGCCTCGCCTCCCTCTCCTTCAGGCATTCGTGGCATCCTAGGGTCGTCCCCCGCAGAGTATCGACCTCTGGCGAGTCAGCCAGCCCCACTTTGAGGGCGCCATGAAGTACAGCGATCACCAACTCGCTGGCCTCTCCGCAAGGCCCCCCGACCGCGTCGAACTCAACGGCGCGGGCTCTCTCGGCTACGGTGGACCGGCCCCAGCTTCGGCTGAGGGCTGACAAGCTGCCGAGCCCAAATCACTGTGAGAGTCGTGATTTCTTGTTGGTTTCCAAAAATCTCTCAGACATCCCGCACACTCCGGCCGGGACAGTTTGGGATGGCCCCCCCGCAACAGTCGAGATTTACCTCGCACTATCCATGACCATGTGCGAGAACGCAAAAACAAAACAAAAACGGTCAAACTCTGAGACGAGATGGGATTTAGGGACATGTGTCCCCGCCCTGCACGATCTTGGTGTGAGGGATCTTCAATCCGTCCCCTCACCCCTGGTGCTGGTCACTACCCGACACTAGAAGAGCAGCACGAGTTGGGGCTGCGGCTACGGCTGCGTGCGGCTGCGGGATAATAAATAAATAAAAACGGACACCTCTCTACTGTGAGATGGGTAAAAAGGAACAGGTCCCCGCCCTTGCGATCTTTGTGCAGGGTTCTTTGTGGGTGTGGTCGGCGACTAGCCGGGGTCGTCCTCCCGATGGGGGACTAGCACTAGCCGTCTTCCATCTACATGGTCCCTCGGGTCCCTGCTGTGCTCCTAATCTCTTCGTACATCCTCCTGCTGATCTCCGCAAAGTCCTGCTCCCTCCCTCGTCTCGCCCTGCGCGTCTGCTCCGCCTCACCGTCTTCTGCCCTGCGTCGTCTGGCGACGGGTCCTCCATAGTCGGTCGAGGTCGCCGCCCTCCTCGTGCCTCTTCCCAACGTTCCCTCGGCGGCCGATGCCGTCTGCTCCGGCTCCCCAGTCCCCGGGTCTGCCCTGCTCTCGTCTGCGCTAGTTTCTGCTTCGTCCTCACCGGCGTCTCTCCTCTTCCTTCTCCCCTTCTTGTATGCTTTGTACATCGCTTCGATTCCTTTTCGCGTGAGCACCAGCCTGAAGCCCGCCCAGCATCTGAACCGCTCCCTAAGTCGAAGGAGCATCATCAGTCTCACCCACTTCGCTCTCTGCCCACCGTCTCCGCTCCCTCCCGCTTGAGCCGCCGTCGCGGCCCTCGTTCGTCCCACTGGCTGTTGGCCCGTCCCTGCGTTGCCTGCGTTATCCCTCCTCTGCGACTCCCTCAAGGCCGGCCGAGCCTCTTTCCACCCAGTGAAGAGCTTCCTCAGCCACTCGATGTGTTCCTCTCTCTTCATTATGCGCGCCGTAGCCTCATCATTGAGCCGGATCCACCTCTGCACCGCGCCCGTCGCCGCCTCGGCCACGACTTGCAAGTTCCTCGTGACCCCGGCGCCAAGGTCCCTCCGGCTCTTCTCCGAGAGATCATCTACCAGCGCCGGCAACCCCCCCCCGACGGCTGGGGCTAGTGCATCGTACCCGTCCTCATCCAGCACCCTATAGCGTGAGCCCTTCAGCGCAGCGACATGCGCTATCCTCAGCGTCTTCAGCGTATCCTTGGACGCTTGGAGTCGGGCGCCGCCTGTGCTACTTTGCTGATCGCCGTCCCCGTCTGCGCTCGCGCTACTCTGAGGAACCATCTGGCCTGCTCCCTATTCCCCAGGCAGGCGCCGCTAAGCAAGTGCGCCATCGTCGCTCTAGGCGGGTTCTCATCTTCCTCGGTCCATTGCTGCGCGGCTTTCCGCACGATCGGACACAGCGGGTCTCGCTTTAGTGCCGCCCTCCTCGCCGCGTCCCTCGCGGCCTTACAGACGAGGCAGCCCCTGAGTTCGCTCCTTGTGGCGGCGCCCGGGGTCTCTCTCCTCGCCTCTCCCCGCATAATCCTCTCGTGGCGCGCTCCGTGTGGCACCCCCGCCTGCTGCCGCACACGCGCTCCCACGACCGTCTTTGTCCACGTTGTGATCATCCACGTCGGCGAATTGTATCTCACGCTCGCCGTGCTGATCCTTGATCCGCTGGCGCTTGTCCCATATTTGTCGTCGTTCCCCTGACCACATCGCTCCACAGCGGCCCCGTCACCCCAGCGGCGTGTGCGACAGCCGGGGCTCTCGCAGAGAGAAATTTAAAGAATTTTTGTTACATGCCTTGTAGCTTGTTCCCTTTTACGACATGTAGAAAAGAGAGAGCACAGTCCGCACGTCGGTGACGTGAGGGCCCCGCTGCCTGATGAGGGATTCTCTGCAGCCACTCTCTGGGGCTGCAGACACAAGTGTGTGGTGCACAATCGGATCAATGTATCACATCACACGTTGGTCGAAAACCGCCAGGCCTGAGTCCACAGCGGTGGGGCATAGAGCCGCCCTAGGCTCCCCTCGTCACAAAATCAGCACGGTCCCGTCCCGTTCTCCACGAGTTGAGTACAGCCCGGTGCCACTCTGACAGGCGCGGGTGGACGAGCAGTTCCGCCTCGCTCATCCACACGCCTCTCCTCCCCGGCTCAAAGGCGAGCGCCGCGTCGGTCGACGGCGCGGCGGCCTCGTAGAACCAGGCGATCAGATCGCCGTCGACGTGGAGATCGACGGCGCGCCGCGGCGGCTCGGCCGGCTGCCAGCCTAGCTCCTCGCGCAACTCCCGCAGCAGGCCGTCGAGGCCGGTCTCGCCTGCAGCATTGGCGGTGCGACGCGTGGGGTTTGCGCGCTGCGCTGTGGCATCAGTTGGGTGATGCGGCGCCTGGCTCCAGCTTGCCGCCGAAACAGGTCAGCTGACCCGCCGCGGTGCGGGCGTCGGCGGGCCGCTCCTCCACCAGCAGGTGGCCGGTAGGGGAGGATAGGATGGCGCAGACGTATGGCGGGAGCCTCATACTGCTACGACTTGAAAATGCCCTGGGAACCCCCACTGGGCCTGGGCGCGGGCGGCGAACGAGTAAAGCAGATGCGTCGCCACAGTCCTCGCCAGAGGGGCTGGCACCACGGTTGTGTGTGGGGGCGGGGCCGTGAAAAAACCCGCGGCATACGGCGCGTTTAGCCGCGAACGGGGCCATGCTCTGGGGCTCGCGACGCGCGGCGGGCGCTGGGAGCCTATTCACAGAGGGCTGACGGGTATTTTTTCGCTTCGCTGCGCGGCCTGGGAATAGGTAGGTAGGTGGGACACGGAGCCTGGCGATTGGAGTTAGTATGTATGTAGAATGTAAGCACGAAAATAAAAAGAAACGCGCGAAAATTCGCGAACTTGCCGCGTAGGCAAATGCTGTGTCCTGTCGGCAGGAGAGCAGCCGCGTCGCGGCGGCTGCTCGCCTTCACGAGGAGGCTCTCCAGCTCCAGCGAGCCACAGAGCGTGCGAAACATCGGCATCAGCGCGCACATCGATTCTGGCAAGACCACGCTCACTGAGCGAATCTTGTATTATACGGGACGTATCGGCGCCATCCACGAGGTCCGCGGAAAGGACGGCGTGGGCGCCAAGATGGACTTTATGGAGCTGGAGCGTGAGAAGGGCATCACCATCCAGTCGGCCGCAACGCACTGCGCCTGGGGCGACCACGATATCAACGTGATCGACACTCCTGGCCACGTCGACTTCACCATCGAGGCGGCGGCCCTCCGGCCGAGCGAACCTTGCGGGCGGCGCCAACTTCCGCCGGCCGTGTGCACACTAGGTGGAGCGTGCGCTGCGCGTCCTCGACGGCGCCATCCTCGTCCTCTGCGGCGTCGCCGGCGTGCAATCGCAATCCATCACCGTCGACCGGCAGATGAGGCACGCTCCGCCGCCTCGCCTCGCCTCGCCTCGCCTCCGCCGCGAGTAGCCGCGCCCGCCCCGCTGCGCTGCCGCCGGAGTGTCGCCGGCGCCCGGCCTCCTCAGGCGGTACTCTGTCCCGCGGCTCGCCTTCATCAACAAGCTCGACCGCGAGGGCTCCGACCCAGGTGGGGTGACACTTCCGGGACACTTCTCCCGCCGAGACAGTGGCTTGGACGCTGCGACGGCACTGGGATGGCACTGCCTGGACACTGCGCAGGCACCTCCCAGACACTCCTCGACGACCCTCGCGCACCCGCCGCACAGACGCAGTGATTGGGTCATCTCGGGCCATCTCGGGCCATCTCGGGCCATCTCGGGCCATCTCGGGCCATCCTCCGCCGTGCAGACGCGGTGATCGGCCAGCTGCGCGATAAGCTGCGGCTCAACGCGGTGGCAATGCAGATCCCGATCGGCGTGAGCGGCGACCACGAGGGTGTGGTCGACCTGCTGGAGCGCAGGGCCCTCCGCTTCTCTGGGCCTGGCGGGGAGGAGGTGGAGGAGGGGGAGGTTCCTGCCGGGCTGCAGGCCGCCATGGAGGAGAAGCGCGCGGAGCTGCTCGAGAAGCTCGCAGACGCCGACGAGGAGATAGCAGAGTTCTACCTCGCCGAGGAGGAGCCGCCGCTCGGGGTGCTGCGTGCCGCGATCCGGCGCCAGACGATCGCGAATGCGATCACGCCCGTCTTCATGGGGAGCGCCTTCAAGAACAAGGGCGTGCAGCCGCTCCTGGACGGCGTGGTGAGCTACCTGCCGGCGCCGACCGAGGTGACCAACTGCGCGCTCGACTTGGACAAGGACGAGGAGCAGGTGGGGCTCACGGGTGTGTCGTCGGACCCGTTCGTCGGGTATATATATATATTATCTCGCCTTCAAGCTGGAGGAGGGGACCTGTCGAGGACACGTGCATGACACGTCCGAGACATGACCATAGGCTCGCCTTCAAGCTCGAGGAGGGGACATGTCGAGGACACGTGCATGACACGTCCGAGACATGACCATAGGCTCGCCTTCAAGCTGGAGGAGGGGACCTGTCGAGGACACGTGCATGACACGTCCGAGACATGACCATAGGCTCGCCTTCAAGCTGGAGGAGGGGACATGTCGAGGACACGTGCATGACACGTCCGAGACATGACCATAGGCTCGCCTTCAAGCTGGAGGAGGGGACCTGTCGAGGACACGTGCATGACACGTCCGAGACATGACCATAGGCTCGCCTTCAAGCTGGAGGAGGGGACATGTCGAGGACACGTGCATGACACGTCCGAGACATGACCATAGGCTCGCCTTCAAGCTGGAGGAGGGGACATGTCGAGGACACGTGCATGACACGTCCGAGACATGACCATAGGCTCGCCTTCAAGCTGGAGGAGGGGACATGTCGAGGACACGTGCATGACACGTCCGAGACATGACCATAGGCTCGCCTTCAAGCTGGAGGAGGGGACATGTCGAGGACACGTGCATGACACGTCCGAGACATGACCATAGGCTCGCCTTCAAGCTGGAGGAGGGGACATGTCGAGGACACGTGCATGACACGTCCGAGACATGACCATAGGCTCGCCTTCAAGCTGGAGGAGGGGACATGTCGAGGACACGTGCATGACACGTCCGAGACATGACCATAGGCTCGCCTTCAAGCTGGAGGAGGGGACATGTCGAGGACACGTGCATGACACGTCCGAGACATGACCATAGGCTACCCTTCAAGCTGGAGGAGGGGACATGTCGAGGACACGTGCATGACACGTCCGAGACATGACCATAGGCTCGCCTTCAAGCTGGAGGAGGGGACATGTCGAGGACACGTGCATGACACGTCCGAGACATGACCATAGGCTCGCCTTCAAGCTGGAGGAGGGGACATGTCGAGGACACGTGCATGACACGTCCGAGACATGACCATAGGCTCGCCTTCAAGCTGGAGGAGGGGACATGTCGAGGACACGTGCATGACACGTCCGAGACATGACCATAGGCTCGCCTTCAAGCTGGAGGAGGGGACATGTCGAGGACACGTGCATGACACGTCCGAGACATGACCATAGGCTCGCCTTCAAGCTGGAGGAGGGGACATGTCGAGGACACGTGCATGACACGTCCGAGACATGACCATAGGCTCGCCTTCAAGCTGGAGGAGGGGACATGTCGAGGACACGTGCATGACACGTCCGAGACATGACCATAGGCTCGCCTTCAAGCTGGAGGAGGGGACATGTCGAGGACACGTGCATGACACGTCCGAGACATGACCATAGGCTCGCCTTCAAGCTGGAGGAGGGGACATGTCGAGGACACGTGCATGACACGTCCGAGACATGACCATAGGCTCGCCTTCAAGCTGGAGGAGGGGACATGTCGAGGACACGTGCATGACACGTCCGAGACATGACCATAGGCTCGCCTTCAAGCTGGAGGAGGGGACATGTCGAGGACACGTGCATGACACGTCCGAGACATGACCATAGGCTCGCCTTCAAGCTGGAGGAGGGGACATGTCGAGGACACGTGCATGACACGTCCGAGACATGACCATAGGCTCGCCTTCAAGCTGGAGGAGGGGACATGTCGAGGACACGTGCATGACACGTCCGAGACATGACCATAGGCTCGCCTTCAAGCTGGAGGAGGGGACCTGTCGAGGACACGTGCATGACACGTCCGAGACATGACCATAGGCTCGCCTTCAAGCTGGAGGAGGGGACATGTCGAGGACACGTGCATGACACGTCCGAGACATGACCATAGGCTCGCCTTCAAGCTGGAGGAGGGGACATGTCGAGGACACGTGCATGACACGTCCGAGACATGACCATAGGCTCGCCTTCAAGCTGGAGGAGGGGACATGTCGAGGACACGTGCATGACACGTCCGAGACATGACCATAGGCTCGCCTTCAAGCTGGAGGAGGGGACATGTCGAGGACACGTGCATGACACGTCCGAGACATGACCATAGGCTCGCCTTCAAGCTGGAGGAGGGGACATGTCGAGGACACGTGCATGACACGTCCGAGACATGACCATAGGCTCGCCTTCAAGCTGGAGGAGGGGACATGTCGAGGACACGTGCATGACACGTCCGAGACATGACCATAGGCTCGCCTTCAAGCTCGAGGAGGGGAAGTTCGGCCAGCTGACGTACATGCGCATCTACCAGGGCAAGGTTGGCCGCGGCGACACGATCCAGTCGATGGCGGCGGACCGGCGCAAGGTTCGCCCCCCCGCCATCTCGGGCAATCTCAGGAAATCTCGGATAATCTCGGGCAATCTCGGGTAATCTCGGGTCCGGCGCAAGGTTCGCATCCCGCGGCTCGTCCGCATGCACGCCAACGAGATGGAGGACGTCGAGTCGGTCGGCGCGGGCGACATCGTCGCCATGTTCGGCGTCGACTGCGCCTCGGGCACCACCTTCACCGACGGCAAGACGAAGCTGTCGATGACGTCGATGTTTGTCCCCGATCCGGTCAGCTCGCTCGCGCTGGTGCCGTCCAGGACACGTCCAGGACACGTTCATGACATGTCCGTCAGGTCATCTCGCTCGCGCTGGTGCCTGCCGACAAGAACGCGCCAAACTTCTCAAAGGCGCTCGGCCGCTTCACCAAGGAGCGCCGCCCGCCGCCCCTCGCGGCAGCGGGGAGCACCCCGTCAGAACCCCGTCTGAACCCCGTCTGAACCCCGTCTGAACCCCGTCAGAACCCCGTCTGAGCCTCGTCTGAGCCTCGTCTCACACCTCCTCCAAACCATGCCGCCCAGGAGGACCCGACCTTCCGCGTGCACACCGACGACGAGTCGGGCCAGACCATCATCTCGGGCATGGGCGAGCTCCACCTCGAGATCTACGTGGAGCGGCTCAAGCGCGAGTACGGGGTGGAGTGCTCGACGGGCAACCCGAAGGTTGCCTTCCGCGAGACGGCGTCGACGCGCTCCAAGTTTGCCTACACGCACAAGAAGCAGAGCGGCGGCTCGGGCCAGTTTGGGCGGGTGCAGATGGACCCCGAGGCGGTGTCGAGATACCCGGGGCTACCCGAGATGACCCGAGATTGACCGAGAGCAGGTGGAGGGCTACCTGGAGCCGATCTCCTCCGACGCGCTCGGCCAGGGCGCGTACGAGTTCGACAACCAGCTCGTGGGCAACATGATCCCGCCCGAGTTCGTCACCGCGATCGACAAGGCGCCGCTGTCAGCTGCCGTTCCCTCGTCTACACGCCACCGCACCACACCGCCACCTTCACCCTCCATCCGAATCGCGAGGAAGCAGCGCACCGTCTCTTCACGGCTGCAGCTGCGAACAGGGCTTCCGCGAGGCGATGCTCAAGGGGACTCTCACGGGCTCGCCGGTGACACGGCCTGCGAGTAGTCCTGCGCGCATGGCCCCGACACGTCCCCGACACGTCGCTGGCGCCTCCCGCAGGTGATGGGGATGCGGGTGGTGCTGCAGGACGGGCTTGCACACGCAGTCGACTCGAACGAGCTGGCCTTCCGCGCCGCCGCGCAGGTGTGGAGACGCGAGGGTTGCCCGGCCCTGGCACTAGCAGCGTGTGAGTGGAGAAGTGTGCCGCACTTTCCCGTCCCGTCCCGTCCCTTCCTTTCCCTCCGCGCAGGGCGCCTTCAAGCAGGCGATGGCGACGGCGAAGCCGGTGCTGCTGGAGCCGCTCATGTCGACGGAGGTGGCGGTGCCGGCCGAGTTCCAGGGCACCGCGGTGGCGCTCGTCTCGCAGCGCAAGGGCACGGTCAACAGCATGGAGGGCGCCGAGTTCGTCACAATCGACGCGGACGTGCCGCTCGAGAGCATGTTTGGCTTCTCGTCCGACCTGCGAGGCGTGACGCAGGGCAAGGGGGAGTACACTATGGAGTACAAGGCGCACGTGCCCGCGCCGCGCGACAAGACCGAGCTGATGGTCAAGAAGTGGAAAGAGCAGCAGGCGGGCAAGTCCGAGGAGTGACCGTCTCGCGCGGCCGTCCCCATGTAGCTCTGAGGACTAAGCCTAGGTCCATAGCCCGGCTCTGTTGCCCATGCTCTCTCTCTTTAACCTGACACCTCCCTCCAGCGACTCCACAGCTCTCTCACTGCTGCTCTCTCCGCGCCCACTCCCCTCTCCCGCTCTCCGTGAGAGTAGTACGCAAGATGTACACGCGCTGCAGTCCCGAGTCCGAAACTCTCGCCGATGTGTCTCGTTCCGGTTCGCTGCGATATTGGTGGGCCCCGTCTTGACACACACGCCGATCACCTTTTGTTATATATTAATATTATGTTTGGACGAGAGTACGAGACCCACTCTACTCTCTCAATACTCAAAAGTGATATCTCCACACTCCAAGGCTCACGGGGCGTGCTGCTCCGACTCGAGCGCTGCGAGCCCCTTTCGCACCACGTCGCGAAACACGGCAGCGAGGCTCTCCTCGGCCGCATCGTATGCGCTCCGAAGCGGCGGGCGTTGCCCCCCCAGCGTGTGCCGCTGCCGCATGCGAGCGTGAAGCGCGCTCTGCAGCCTGGCGGCCAACCTCGCCGCCTCGCCCTGCTCCTCGCTTCCGGCGGGACCGCCGCACACCTTCTCCGCCACCAGCCTCCTCGCCAAGCCGAGGGTGTGCGTGGCGAAGTCGGCGTGGACGGCCGGCTGGGCTGCCGACGGCTCGGAGCTGTCGTTGCGCGGCGATGACCCGCCGACGCCGCTGCCGCTGCCCGCGCTGACGCCGCTGCCGCTGCCCGCGCCGACGCCGCTGCCTGCGCCGCACGTGCTGCTGCTTGCACCGCCCGTGCTGCTGCTTGCACCGCCCGTGCTGCTGCTTGCACCGCCCCGCCCAAGCGGCGCTTGCTCGGGCGGCGCCTCGGTCCGGCGCGGCTGCTGCAGGCTGATTTGCTCGGGCGGCATCCCTCCGGCGCGTGCGCACGGCAGCGCCGGCAGCAGCAGGGCGAGGATGGAGCCTGTGGACAAGTCTCGGGCATGTCATGGACGTGTCCTGGACAGCGCCGGCAGCAGCAGGGCGAGGATGGAGCCGTGCTCAGCCTTTGGCTTGAGGGTGTGCGCCTTGAGTCGCGCCTGCGGTCGAAGGTGCCGCAAAGGTGCCGCGAAGGTGCCGGGAAACTGCCGGGAAAGTGCCGAGAAGCTGCGCTCGCTCGCTGTTTGGCGAGACGAGGAGGGGGAGGGGGAGGAGAGGAGAGGAGAGGGAGGAGAGGAGAGGAGAGGGAGGGAGGTGCGAGCAGGACGACGAGGAGCCGCGCCTCCACCGCCTTTGCCTGGGCCTCGTTCTCGTACGCCACATGCGCACCGCCCACACGCGGCACGTCTTGCGGCGGGGGCAGCGTCGCCCACCCGCCCGCTGCCGCGGCGCCAGCCCCGCCGCCGCCGTCCGCGCCGTCCACGCCGCCCGCCTGCCCGCTCCGCCGCGCCTCCTCCTCCACCGCGTCGCGCAGCAGCCCCGCCAGCCTCTCGCGCGAGACAACCGCGCCGCGCCGACTCGCCGCTGGCCTCGCCTCCCCCCCGCCTCCTCGACCCCCTCCTCGACCCACCTGTCTCACAGGGCCAGCGACCACGGACTGATCTGCTCGTATCCAAGGGGGGGGCGAGCACCAGCTCGTACAGCCACTACAACTACCAGTCCTACTGCGGCGACGACTGTGCCTCCGAGAGCGCC